TTGTGTGTGCAGTGGACCTGTGGTCATAAAAGCATGGATGCTGAATGACAAATGAGTATGTGAAGACTTTTAGGGCATGTGCATGTTGAGATGGTGATAAAAATATCAAAGAAGAAGAAGCCCTTCCTGTGTAAGCACCCACGGTGAGAAGTAGACTCAGAATATCATTTTCAAAATACAGTAAATGTTGCATTCACTGAACAGAGTAGATGTAAAAAGCTTTAACAAGTGTTTCAGTATTCAGAGACTGAAAAACTACTGTCAAAATTGGACCTAAAGTAAAGATTTGGCATTACAAGGGATAACTGCAAATTACTGCTACTACTGCTTCAGGTCTTTAAATTTTTTTAGAAGCTGCATTCAGTTTTTTCACAAAATGCCTTCATTGGTAAAGCAGTAAGGTTGATTATAAAAATGTGCAAGTGAAGGCTGTAAGAAGATGCTACATAGTAAACCTGGGGTTGTTTCTATAGTGGACTGTGCAATGAGGAGAGGTGAAAACTGAGGGTAAATAAATGGCATTCAATATGGCAAAAAAGACGTCTTAAAAACACCTGCAGACACCATGATGATGCTTCTGCTTAATGTCCTTAGATCATGGGTGTTAAGGTGTCAGCTGGCTTTGACAATGACAGGATGCACAGAATTGTTGTACGCACTTTGGTAAACATTCAGTTTAAAAAACAGAAAAATAAATCATAGCCTGTGTATAAAAGAGCAAAGCACAACAGGTCATTGATGTGTAAAGGACATTTCTAAGTTTAGAAGTAAATGACACTACAGTGAGGTGTCCTCAGTCCAAAACAAGTCAGACCAGGTGTGTACATGAAGAACCTGTCCTTCAGGTTTTTCTGTGTGAATGTTTTTTCAGACAAAAATAAATGTGGAATGACTCCTCTGTGCTGAAAAAGGAACTAAATTCGCGATTGGTTCCACATGCATCAACACTCAAAACATGTACTTCTGGTCTGAAAGCCTTAGATAGTTTTTATTATTATTATTGTTCATTCACTTAAATGGCAGCTTACACATATCCTATCATCGCTAGAAACACTCGATTATCTTTAGGTATTGATGCTACAAGTTTTTATGCATTTCTGTAGGTTTGTCTGTTTGTATGTTCTCTTTTTAACAAACATTTCATTATCCTGAACATTAATCCAGAAATACTGTATTCACATTACCTGCATCATAAATCCTTAAGTATTAACAGCTATAATGTCAAAAGTTACATCCCTGATTTATGTAAAGAAATGACTTCTTTAGACTTATTCCTTTTCATTTCAAAGTATCACTGACATTATTTACAGGTAGGATGTCAGATTAAATGGGAATATAAAATATTTCTCAATTATCAAATCATTTCTGTGATTAATTAGAATATAAAGTCACCATGAGGTTGTAAAAGTAACACATTAAATTAAATTACTTGGGAATCGAAACAAGTAAAGGGCTAAAATGAGGCCAAACAATGAGAGCATATTTCCATGTTTTAACTCAGCCTCCCAACTTCTGTCTCAAGCCTGAGTCTATATATAACTGAGCCACCTAATATTGAGTACATATCACTTTTGCATATCTTAGTATTTTTGGTGATCCACATTCTGTATGCACCTTGAATTTTCTTTTGTCTGTGTTTCATGAACCAAAGTAGAAAGCAGAAATGTATTTGGAAAACAGAAGGAGATTTTTTGCTTTATAAGGATTCACTGCTTTTTTTTTTACATCAACAGGAAGTCATCGAGTAGGGAAAAGCATTGTTTGTGTCCTTTTTTACAGGCATGTTATATAAAATATGGTCAGATTTATCCCAAAGGTGTATAGGTTTTATTTCATTAATAAAATATAAATATGTCTCATGATGTGCTTTTGAACATGGTTCAAACTACCAAACTGGCACTGAAAACAAAAAACTGAACTGGTAAGTCTGGTTGCTGTGGCAGCTGTTACTATACTAACACAGTGTGTCAGATGCTTTGGGAGTTTCTGTTGAGGGACACCAGGGAATCTGAAACACTATTTCCCCAGTGTACACATTTGTGCGTGTGTGTGTGTGTGTGTGTGTGTGTGTGTGTAAAACCAGATGCAGGTGTGGGACACGGCGGGTCAGGAGAGGTTTCGTACAATCACCCAAAGCTATTACCGCAGCGCTCATGGTGCCATGATCACCTATGATATCACACGAAGATCAACCTTTGACTCAGTGGCTAGTTGGATAAATGAGGTGGAGCTGTATGGAGCAGCCAATGTAGTACTGGTCCTCATAGGTGAGTGTAGCTGTGACTGTCAGCATGTGAGCCTGAATACAGTATATGAGTCAGTATTACACTTTATAGCTTTGCTATGCTTGCAACATCAATTTCAATTGTTGGCCTTTGCAGTTTAATTGCATGCACTGACAATAAAAATAACAAAACTTTTGTGAAGCAGACTTTGGGTGTTTAAGGTGATCTCAACTCCCTAATTGTCTCCACCTAGGTAATAAATGTGACCTGGAACAGGAACGGCAAGTTCAGTTTGAGCAAGCCTGTGATCTGGCAAATGATAAAGGCATACTGGCTGCTCTAGAAACATCTGCAAAGGTAATGAGTGTAGTTTTGCATATAAAACACAAAGGAGAACTTTTTAAGTTAGTTAAAATTGTTTTGTATCCTCCTGTGTGTCTAGGAGAGTCAGAATGTGGAAGAAGCCTTCATGATAATGGCCAGGGAGTTGATGTCTCGTAACGGTCTTCACGTCCAGCAGTGGGACTTTGAGAGCAACAACACACCTCGAGTTCTTCTCCATTCCAACTCTCAGCCGGTTAACGGTATCATACCTAGCTACACACCACCAGAGAAGAAGTCATGTTGCTGATATACATGGGACAATAAAGGGGGTTAGAAATTAAGAGTTGACTGCGGATGAGGAAGAGGTTTAAGGACACATTTAATTATTATTTCAGAAGAGGAATGGCAGAAGAAACAACAAAAGTGCATGGATGTCGATTATGTGCTGGCAAGGCCTCAAGAACTGAGAATCTGTGCATTAAGGACATTTGTGCAATTATTGAAAAGTGTTGTAGTGTGTACTTTGCTGTGACTTGACAAGAAGAGAACTGTTCAGCTGGTGAAGTGTGATGAGAAAGTCAAACCAGGCATGTTTACCATGTGAGTGGTGATGGGTATGATCAATGTTGTGGGAAAACCTAATTTATATCAACTACATCTGGACTGTTTGTTCTCCTCCAGTTATCTGATATTATCCAAACAAAAATGCTGCAGGACACATGTATTTTGAAAATATGCACTAACCACATAATCAAATTCCAAAATAAAAAATTAAAATGTTATGCTGGTTACCATCAAGCGTTCTCAAGCTGCTAGCCTTAACCAACAAAACGGTTCCATAACCGGTGTGTGTTTATACATGTATATTATAGTACGGTAGACTCAGAGTATTTCACCCAAGTGACCTCTTGTAGTGCCTTGATGATGAGCTGTAATCCTTTGGTAGAAAAAGCCCTGGACAACCTGCTACAGCCAAAAAACTGTGAATTATACATTGTTGTTTGACTTTCTCTGGTGACAGTTGTAGACATAGTGTCCTACATTGTCATAAATGTCTTTAAAAGGCTTTGAATGTTTTTTTTTCTGCTCAGTTTACATGAGAAAGGATGAAGCTTCAGTGTGAAACAAAGATTCAGCAGAGGTTTTTGCTAAAAATTTAAGAAAACACTAGGTCTTCAGTGCATTTGTGCTACACGTTTCTATAAGTCTCTTGAGCTCAACTGGAAGGATTTGTTTCACAAAGATTTTTACTCATTTGTTGTATTGATGGTGGTAGTTGAGAGCGCAGGCAGTGCAAAAATCCCCCATTGCTGCCAACTAAATTGAGATCATGTGACTATTAAGGCCAAAGTATATAACTCACATCATATCCAGACTAATAAATCTATTCATTATGCAGCTTTTGTTTTTAATTGTTACCCATTGGTATGAGAGTGACTTGAGATTGGACTGTTGCTAATCAATGATCATCCAGAGAGCCACTAGATGGCACTGTGCTTTTACACATAATCCACTGCAAGATGGATGTTTGTTGCCTTAGAGAATAAAGATCAATTTAATTTAAAACATCTGTGACTACACTAATGAATTATTTTACATGCAACCCAGTAAACACAAAGATGTCAAATCACCCTTAAGGCTGAGCTATGCCAAGATCACTTACTGTAAATAAACAGCCACACTGAAGTGACTGAGCTTATCAGGCTCAGACCTTTTTGGGGGACTAATGCCAAGTTAGCAGGCCTTATTAACACACCAATCTGGAAGCCATGTAGCTGGTCTTGTTACTTTCTGTCACTGATGCAACTAATCTGCCTCAGTTTTTATTCATACAATAATGAGTGGAACAATCCAGGTGTAGCCTTCAGTCAAAATGAGGCTATGCCTGGGTGCATCTAAATCTCCTGTAACCAACCATTCAGATGCCAAATGAAACAAAAGAGCCTTGGCAAGAACAGACTCAGATTCCATCATTATTACAGTTGTGATGAGACCTAATTTCAGGTCATTTTTTATGATTTGGCATGTTTTATTCATAACTATCAGTCATGATGCACTTGGCAGATATATAGTATAGCTGGAACTTTCGACCCTTCATTAAACCAGTGAGTCACTTCATGATGCAATACATCTGTCTACTTTCATAGCCTGCTTGGTGTTTTAAGTTATTGCTTTCCATGTCTGTCACTTAGTAAAACAAATTTCCAGAAAAAATAAACCCTATTTTATTTCCAAAAAAAGGTAGACAATATTATACATTAATAAAAAAGACCAAGAATGACTGTGAAAGGTAAACTTAGCAATATTACATTGCTACCAGTAAACAATGTTAATGCTCCAAGATGAGTTTTGTTTTTATTCACACCAGATGAAAAGTCATGATTACTCAAAAAAAAAACTTAAGCTAATAAATTTTATCCCAAAATGATCATTATGCTCATCTCATTTGAACTTAAATATCAAATCACTGAGTTTATTTTTATTAACCCATGTGGATCCACATCCACTTTAAGTCAGCCTGATGATCTCAAATGTCTTAGGCTGCCTCTCTTGCAGGGGTCGAGGCAGACGGTCATCCTGCCCCTCAGTTGTTTCCCCCATCACCTCCTGTGTGTCATTGTCTGACCCTCCTTGTCCTCCCTGTCCTGTGTCCATCCCTCCTGTTTGTTGATCCTTGGGACATTCCCCATTGTATGTCTTGACATAATCCTCGACGCGCCAGCCCCTGAACTCCTGCGGCTCAGAGCAGATCAGTCCAGTGTAGAAAACCCCAGGATGGTGCTTGAGCCAGTAGATCAGGTAATGGATGTTGTAGTCGCAGATCCAGGGGTTGTTGCCTAGCGAGAGCTTTCGAAGGTAGTAGAGGTCCTCCAGTACACCATACTGGAAGTAATGGAGGCTGTTGTTGGACAGGTCGAGCTCACGGAGATACAGCAGGCCTGCAAATGCAGCTGGGATTGGAACAAAAGAATAAGAAAATTAGTTGGCACCTCATACTACTACCTTTTTTTAATCTTTTATGTCTGTCAGCATGTGATTTTTTGCTTGTTTGTTTTACTTTAATTATAGATAATTTAAAACACTATAATTAATATTTTTATTATCAACAGACTCAAATGACTATGCAGTATGACAGGGGTTGGTAGTTGTAAGGACGACACAGAATTTCCACCAAAATGCAGTTTCTCATAGTTGTACAGAGATTTTTTTCCTCTTTGACCCATTGTCTTGGTTGTTTTATTGTGCTCGAGCAGGGTACTTAGTGGTGCAATCGAGACGTATCATTTATTGGTACATGGATTGTTTGGGATTTGATCTGCACATTCCTGTTTGACTACACTACATGGTGCAGCGTGTTCTTCATGAAGAATAATTGGAATCGAATATCAATTTTCAAACATTTATTATCATAACTAAACAGACCATCGAATAAAGCAATTTACAGAGCTCTGGGTTCCATCTCTATCTGAAGCCCCGACCTCAACAGCAAAACCGTTCAACCCGTCTTCAGGATGAGAAGGAACCCTGTCCTCCTCCATTCAGTTAATTTTATACAATTTCAAATGTGCCCTTGTAGGCTGGTCCGGTCCTCTCATGCTGTTCTATTGGTCCATCTATCCATCCGTCCTCCTCCTGCATCTTTTCTGCTCCAATGGGAAAAGCAGCTTCCTAAAGATGGAGGAAATTCTACTGTCTGAATTCCTACACACTCACTTCTGTCTTTGTTACACTATATGTGACATGGTTTCCTGTTTGGCTAATTAAACTGTCTTGCCTGTGTGTCTGTATATTGCCCTGCCTTTGAAGTTGTCTTCCTCTTGTTGGCTTTTAGATCTAATCTCTTGTTTATTACCCTTGGTGTCCCAGTGACCCCAAATTCCCTGGCCTCTTCAGCCAGGTGGTAATAATAACTTAACTGTGGACCCTCTTTGCTGAAGCTGTAAATCTGATGAGAGTCAGTGTTTTGGTGAACCAGTCCCTTTGATGTTAAACAGTGCCCCAGTTGGCTAACACAATAAGTACTAGCCAAGAATTCAGTGAACACATAGAATGATATACTCAACTATGTAAACATAATTGTAACATATAAGTAAGCAAACTTATGTGTGCTCTAAACTAAATCTTAACTATGATAGAATTACCATACGCAAAGTAAACACACAGGTTGACTAATCAACAAGCATAATGTTAATCTTCTACTAATTATGTTCTTAATTCATCAAATGTTAGAATCAACCTTAAAGTATGACTTAGTTAATAATTTTACCCAACAATGGTTGTATGGTTTCAAGCTGACACACTCGTATTGAAGACCATGTGTCTTATTTGACACGTCTGATTGCAGTAGGCTATAGCTATATACTTAGCCTGACATTTTGTGCTATGAATCATATTCTATCCTAAAACAAGTCTAAATAGCCCATAGCTTAAAAGCTGTTGAATAGTGTGTGTTCAATAGGCTAGATGGCAAATGCAACCTCATTTCAAACATTTTATTGATAAGCCAAATGACACTCAGCTCTGCCGGGAATCAACTCCACGCTACACCAGCATTTAAATCGGTGGAGTCCTACACAGGGGCAGATCTAGAAAAATTTGGGTTGGGTGGCCAGGCTGGGTCACAAACTCAGAGAAAGGAGGCACATTTGAAATGCATGTAAAAGGAAAATTAAACTTTAGTTCTGTAAAATAATAAACCATACATTAAGAATGAAACCATTTTCTGTAAAACTGAGGCATACAGAGTGCTTTCTTTAGCTAGCTTTGCCTGTGCTCTATATTTACTCCCAGCTGGGGACATTGCTGCCACACAACAACAACACAGCCCAACAGTAAATGCAAATATCATCCTACATGCAAGATATAAAATAAAACTATTGACCAATATCAATTATAAAGCACCAGAAAAATGCCGTATTTAAGGCAGCAATTTGTCATTGTTTTCTCATCCATTCACTAATACTTGTCAGGGGCAGCGTACAAAGCTGCTGATAATATCTAGGGTGAACTCAATTATAAGGCCAGATGATTTTTCCCTTTTTTGATATTTGTTTATATTTGAGAGTCATACATCAGATTATTCTTCATGTTGTTAAGTTTGTTAGATCTTAATTGTACCTTTGCATCATGTCAGTGGGTAAAATAATAATGCAGTTAGTCTCAGTGGGTTTGAGGAGGTGGTTATAAAGGACTTTTTACTAATAAATTATATTTATATATATATGACTATTTCCTCGGTGTGGTGGTGTAATAGCTGTTGTCATTTTAAGTTTTTTAGCAAGATCTTCAGTTTTAAAAGTTGTACTTATGATTACTTTCTTAGTGGTATAAATAATTAGCAGAGAGCCCTTACTCTGCTTTCACACATTTCAGTGGCACATGTTTCCTCTCATTACATGTGTAAATGTTACTACATTTTGGTGTGTGCATGCTCAGAAAGTTATTTTGCTGATGTTTGTCTGTGGCTGTAGATTCATCTTCATTTTCATTTCTTAGGCACTGTGTGGGTGACTGTGAACAAGATTTGTATCAAATAATTCACAATGGAAAGCTTGTATGTAGCCAGGTTAACCCAATGTTTCCCGATTTTAAAACAAAGAAATGTGTGTTTGTGACTGCTCAATACTGGTAGTTTATTTGTTATTTTGTGTTGGGTTGTGTGTTTGGTTATTGAGGGTAGAGCTGTTCTGTTACCTGTGTCTAATTGGTGCAGGCTGTTGCTGCTAAGGTTGAGTAGCTTAAGGTCTTTGGACAGCAGGAACTGTTTGGGCCTGAGATGTTTGATGCTGTTACTGGACAGATCCATCCTCACTATGTCAGATGGCAGGTTGGAAGGGATGTGATCCAAACCTGCAGAGACAGAGAGAGACAGACAAACATAAGCTCTAAAACTCAGAAAGGAGCTGGCAGGAGAGTGCTGAGAGGAGGTGAGAGAGATACAGTTTATTGTCCTGTAAAAATGTAAAAAGTTAGATTTAGTACTAGAAGATAAGATTTCAAATAGAGAGGATGGAAATAATAATCACCTGAACCTGGTGGATTCCCTGCCGAATTTTATAAACATTTCTCTCAAATATTATCACCACTGTTTCTAAGAGTTACCACAGAAATTTAAACCACCTCCACAGTACCAACACATATGAATATGGCTGCTGTGACATTCTAAGGGCGTGTGCTTGTATTTTTCTTGTTTGTAACATTTATACTTTTTCATATATTTAGCGTTTTTCAGCAAATTTTGCCCCATTCAAATGAATGGGAAAAATTTTCACGTCTTAATAACTTCAGCATACCTTCAGCTAAAAACACCATTTCAACTGTTATCTATTCAGCAACTCTTCAGCTACACAGCTTTTTGATATCTTTTACAGTTTTTGCATAATTACTGTTTATATTGTATGCCTCATTTCAATAGCCACACCCTATTAGCCCTCAGGGTGTAGGACTACTCTTTCTTTGTCATATTCATACAGACACAGACACACAAACACCTACACACCCACACACCCACACACACAACCCTACTTGTTTTACCTACTTTCTGGGGACCAGTGGGAATATTTTCACTTCTTAATAAGTTCAACATATTTTCAGGTAAAAAAGCCATTTAGGTATCAAAATGTTCAAAACATTATTTCTACAACTTTCATACTTTTGAAAATATTCAGCATTTATTCTAATAATCTTGCCCCATTCAATTGGATGGGGAAATTCAACTTCAGCATACTTTCACCTATCAAAATGTTCAGCTCTTCAAGGATATTTATGCTTCTCTTCAGATTTTTTTTAAACTTCATACTTTTGAAATATTTAGCTTTATTTTGAAAGTTTTTGAAATATTTAGCTTGCCCCATTCAAATGAATGGGAAAATTCTACTTTAGCATACTTTCAGCTATTTCAGGTATCATGTTCAGCTCCTCAAGGACATTCATGCTTCTCTTCACAATTTTCTAAACTTCATACATTTTGAAATATTTAGCTTTATTTTGAAAGTTTTGCCCCATTTAAATGAATGGGGAAATTTTACTTAAGCATACTTTCAGGTATTTCAGGTATCATGTTCAGCTCCTCAAGGACATTCATGCTTCTCTTCACAATTTTCTAAACTTCATACGTTTTGAAATATTTAGCTTTATTTTGAAAGTTTTGCCCCATTTAAATGAATGTGGAAATTTTACATAAGCATACTTTCAGGTATCAAAATGTTCAGCTCTTCAAGGACATTGATGCTTCTCTTCAGAATTTTTCTAAATCTCATACCTTTGAAATCTTGCCACTTACAAATGAATGGGAAAATTCTACTTCAACATACTTTCAGTTATCAAAATGTTCAGCTCCTCAAGGACATTCATGTTTCTCTTCAGGATTTTTCTAAACTTCACACCTTTGAAATATTTAGCTTTATTTTGAAAGTCTTGCCCCATTCAAACACACGAGAAAATTCTACTTCAGCATAATTTCAGCTATCAAAATGTTGAGCTCTTCGAGGACATTCATGCTTCTATTCAGAGGTTTACTAAACTTCATACTTTTATAATATTTAGCTTTATTTTGAAATTTTCCCCCATTGAAATTAATGGGAAAATTGTACTTTAGCATACTTTCAGGTAAATATGCCTTTCACATGTCAAAATGTTCAGCATTTTCAGGGTGATCCTTCAGCACACAGCATCCACATGCATCTTTGACAGGAAATGCATTTCTCTAGTTAGTGTGGATGTGAACATCCACACTCTTATCTTCTTCTTTATTATCATTCTGGGTTCCACCGCTGTTCTTTGGCACCTAACTCCTTAAGCATACTTTCACCTAGAAGGGCCATTGAGGTATCAAACTGTTTAGCTCTTTAAGGACATGACTGCTTGTATACAACTTTTTTATAACTTTTATACTTTTTAAGTAATTCAGCTTTTTTTGCAAAAATTGTCCCATTGGAATGGGGCAAAGTTGGAAGCTTAATATCTCCAGCATACCTGGGGCTAGAAACGCCATTTCAACTCTGTTCAACTCGTGAGACGTTCAGCTACCAATGGTGCAAAAATCACCTTGATATCTTTTATGGTTTCTTTATAATTGACATTTATATTTTATCTATTTGTCTATAGACAATGAATGGGCCAATACAATACAATGCCATTGGCAGCCTATGCGTCACGTGACTCCCCGGTCTAGCAGGTCTCTCTATGCTTTTCCTCTTCCTCATTGCCCCCTCTGTGCTCCTATTATGCCATTCTTAAGCGTTATACACATATAATAGTTGACAATCATAGAGAAAATTGTCACAAATCCAGCTGTGTTATTATAGCGTGGGATGGATGGTATTTGCATAGATTGCACATTCCAGACAGTACGGTCTTACTGCTCATAGACTTACAGTCAATACAGAAGGTCCACTGAAACAAAATGTCGGCATATTTGTAAATCGTAACTGTTCCTTCATTTTGTTTAATCTTGACATAATACAACAGTGGAATACAACAGTGGAATAACACAACAAAGTGCTGCATATATATATATTACTTAATGCAGATGTCACGTTTGCTCGTTGCCGCGTCTCTCGCTCTCTTGCTCCGTCGCTCCCTGATTTGCAGTCAAATAATACGCTGGAAGGAAAACGTCTGGGTAATTAAAAAATGCCACGGTTCCTTCAGTTTGTTTAATGTCATGGCATAATACAACAGTGTACTAACACAACAGGGTGCTGTATTAGTTTGAAACTGAATGCACAAATCCCAGTGGCAGCGTGTGGTCACGTAACTCGACCAATGATTAAACAATTTATTTTATCAATATTTTGATTTTTTTTTCTGCTTCCTGTTTTGTCAATATTCTATTTACCTTTCACCTTTTGAGCATTACTTATGAGCCCTCCACTTCTTAAGCTAATTAACTTGTGTGCATAATAAAGGCACAAATACATTTGTTCAGAACTTTCAGCTACAGAAACCATTCAAATATTGAAGGATTTGCCAGTAGAAAAGGTGCTAAATACTATTAAGAGAATTATAGCCTATGAATATTCATAAGCTACCTTTTTATAGTACATTTAGTGCTGTTTTATAATGCTCAAGACTTTAAAGCTGCATTATAATCATTCTCCTTCCTGAATATGTAACGTGTTCCTGAATATGTAAGTGTGACCAATAGCAATACAAGACGTGAACGTTCATGGCTTGGTCTTCAAATAGTTTTTAAAATTTACATTCATCACAGTCATGTACAGAACACCTGTATATTTCAGGTCTTATTCACAACCGCCTGTTCGTCCCTAACACTGCACGCATCTCTGTACCTCAGTGGGCACACGATTCCAGGCTCAGTTGTCACCCAGGTATCCACCATACCACCTCCCTATTAAAGCGACATTTCTGGTGGCCAACGCTGGAGAAGGACACACTTGAGTATATACGAGCCTGTGCCATCGGTACCCGGTCCAAAGCATCACATCAGCCACCAGCCGGTCTCCTTCACCCCCTGCTGGTTCCTAGCCGACCATGGTGTGACATAGCCCTGGATTTCGTCACCAGACTCCCACCATCGAGCGATCCTGTCAATCATCGATCGCTTCTCCACAGTAGCACATTTTGTCACCCTGCCACACCTTCCCTCAGCAATGGAAACGGCTGATGTATTGGTCCAACACATCTTCTGACTACATGGGCTTCCCTCCAACATAGTGTCTGACCGTGGACCCCAGTTCATCTCCCAAGGCCATTGGAGTTCGACCCTGTCTCTCATCCGGATACCATTCCCAAACTAATGGACAAGTGGAAAGATTAAACCAGGAACTAGAAAACACCTTGTGCTGTGTCACCAGTCATGAACCCTGTGCCTGGAGTTCTTACTTGCCCTGGATAGAGTATGCACACAACTCCATCACCAGTATGGGCTCCGGCTTGTCCCCATTCAAGGACTCCCTCGGTTGTCAGCCGACTCAGCCTACTCTTGGACAACAAAACTGGAGTTCACTCGATTCAGGCACACATCCGCTGTTGCAGACTGATCTGGGCGGAGACAAGGACAGCCCTTCTCTGCACGTCTGAGCAAAACCAGCGCCTAGCAGACCAATGGCGTTGGGTGGCACCCAAGTACGAAATTGGACAACGGGTCTGGCTGTCCTTGGCGCACATACCCCTGAAGGGCGTCTCCCGCAAGATGGCTCTGCGGTACCTGGGTCCGTTCCCTATTACTGAAGTGACATACCCTATGGCCATCTGTCTCCACCTTCCCCAGTCGCTCAGAATACACCCAGTCTGTCATGTCTCCCAACTACAGCCAGTGCATTCCAGCCTGCTGTGTCCCCGTCTGCCCTCCCTCCTCCGCCCATTGAGGTTGAGGGTGGCCCAGCCTCTGCTGTATGGTGGATCCTGGATGTGCACCCCCGTGGCAGGGGGTTCCAGTACTTAGTGGATTGGGAGGGCTATGGTCCTGAGGAGTCGTCCTGGATACCTCACTCGTTCATCCTGGACCCGGAGATGGTTTCACCGGGCCCATCCAGGTCTGCACAGTGGGTTGCCATGAGGCGCCCGTAAGGGGGGGGTCCTGTCAGGTATGCTCCATGCCACCTCCTTCTCTTCTCCCTGCTCCCTCTCTCCCCACTTTTCTCTTGACAAACAGAGGCATCCCAGGTGTATGGCACAGCTGTTTCTAATCCCATCTGATTAGCGCTGCGCCATAAAACTATCAGATGAACGCCACCCCTGTGCCGGTTTGTTCTAGGTAGTGTATGCAGTGGACAGAGGATTTTTGCCAGCTTCTACACTCGGTACAACTACTGGAACAAGTGAGACTGATCTCTCCCCATTACGTATTTACCCCCTTACACTCTCACATGTGGATTATTCAGCGA